CAGGCGCAGAGGAGGCGCTGATCCAGGAGGCAACACGCAAGTCGCAGGGGGCGGTGTAAAATCACACGCAGGACTGACATTTCCCAGGTCTCTCACGTGGGGGAGAGGAAACCCTTCTGAGAAACCGAGGCAAACCGCGTTTGGCATTCGGAGAGCAATCGCTTTCTTCCCCCCCGTCCTCCTCATCCCCGTCCCAAAGGCCAGCATTGCTGCCAAGACCAAAGGCCAGCATTGCTGCCAAGACCACGGCACCAGGAGAGAGAGCTCGAGTCCCAGGAAGCCCTGGGGCTGGCTTCTGGGGCTGATGCTGAAGCGAACGTAGGTAAGGGGTTCACCAGGCAGTGTGGGGGGGGGGTGGAGAGCTCCCCAGGCAGACACGTTAGGGAGATATTCTGGGCAAAGGGAACAGTTTGTGCAAAGGCGTGGAAGCGGGAGAAACCATAGTCGTTCAGGGAACGCAGGCCTTTAGTGCAAAGGGAGCAAGTATGACAGCAGTTACCAGGAAACGAGGCTGCGGAGATACAACCTCCCACCTTAGGGAGGACCTCGTCTGCCACCACAACCCATGTAAAATGAGTGCTGCCTGGCCAGTGTGGCTCAGTGGCTGAGCATCAACCCATGAACCAGGAGGTCAGTGTCTGATTCCAGGTGGGTCAGGGACACAGGCCCGGGTTGCTGTCTCCATCCCCAGTAGGGGGCGTGCAGGAGGCAGCCGATCAATGATTCTCTCTCATCATTGATGTTTCTCTTCCCCTCTCTCTCTCTGAAATCAGTACAAACTTACCAAGAAATGAGTGTGCTGTGTTCTCGGGAAAGGGGGCGGGGGGAGTGTTATGTAGCAATAAAGAGAAATAGTTAGACACGTAGAGTGGGATTGGATTGACAGCCAAGGGGAGGAGTTTGGATTTTAACTTGCAGACCGTGGAGCATGATGGGAGTTTGGGAACTACCTGGGAGGTGACTGCAAGGGCTGCGTTGCACCTCACAGGTCCTGGGTCTTGTCAGTGTTGGCACATGGCTCTCCCAGCGCCAGTGCTCCCTGTGTGCCCATGTCCAGTCAGCAGTGACTGAGCACCTGTTCCCGAGTTCTCTTTCCCTCCTATAGTCATTCTTTTAACATGTATGTATTTATCGATTTCAGAGAGGGAGAGAGGGATGGAAACATAAATTATGAGTATCATTGATCGGCCACCTCCTGCACGCTTCACACGGGGATCAAGCTTGAAACCTGGACATGCGCCCCACCAGGAATCAAACCGTGACCTCCTGGTTCACAGGTTGATGCTCCACCACTGAGCTGTTATGCCCAGATTTCAGGATCCCCAAGAGACCACACCAGGGAGCCAGCCGTGTCCGATGCAAAAGCATAAGAGTCTTTATTCAAGCTAGCTCGTGCTCCCCATCCACCACACTCGCCGATGCAGCGACAAGAGGCAGAGAGAGCGAGCTTTGTGGGTAGAGGGGTTTTATAGTAAGGGGAGGAGAGAGGACTGTGGGCCCTGCCGATTGGCCAGGCGCAAGTCGGTGTCTTATTACACAGGATGTGGTCATATCTATGGCGCGCACTTCCCTTGATTATCATT